CTTTCTCCTTGGAAAGCTCTTCGGCTATGGCGAACATCTCGTTGAAAGACATCGTTGCTGAGGAGGCCATGACCTTTTGGTTGATGGTTCTTGGGTCCACAATGATGCGAGGAATGAGTTTTCCAATATCCGCACAATCCACAACGTGTGTCGGCATGTTTCCGTCACCGGGAACTAGATTTCGTAGAAACTCAGGCAACACAACGGTATAGTCAGTTCGCTCAGAAGCCAATTGAGGGATAAACCCGTGGTACCACCAGCCGACGTCGATGATTGTGAACGGTAGGTCGATGGCTCTCAGTTCAGCGTAAACCAACTCCTTCTGCAATTGGACGTCAGAAACCGACATAATAAATATCGTAAAGCCCACCAATCCGTGAGATTCTGACATACCGTCTTCTGGACGGAAGACTTGGCGGTTGGCGAGACAGCCATCGCGAATGCGCTGGGAATAAAGCGTTGGACGCCCGCTAGTTTGGCTGCTCTAGCCAGTGTTATTTGAGACGCTATGCCGGCAGGGTGGACCGAGGCTACTACAATTTCGAATCCTCTCAAGGTGTTGGCGATCTCGATCTCTGGCTTGTCAAGGTCGACGACAATGGCGTTGACTCCTCTTTTTCTCAGCTCCTCGTACGCTGGCTTTGAGATTGACGAGGGCCGGGCCAAGGCGGTGACTTCCTTTACAGACTTATCAGTCACAAGTTCTGTGGGAATATGCGCTTGAGAAACCAATGGAAACCGAGACTTGTGAACTCACAAAAGACGGAGATGTTGACTTGAGCAAGCCATTGACAATAATACCCCCAGACTCCCCAACAGCTCCGAACACTGCTACTTTGTGAGTCTTGAGAAACATCGGAGCGTTGGTGAACGTCTGAGGACAATGTCAAGATATCATAAAAGTTGACCTCGGGCTAGGTTTTTTCCTTAAGTACTCTGGCTCTCCTTCAGCATTGTACGTCTTTAGTTGTGGTGTCGGGTATTAGGGGATCGGAACAACGGCCCCACTCCCATGGCGCGGGCCCCCGGGTACCGGAACAACTCTCTGGTTGCGGAGTTTGACTCCAATATCCGCTTGAACTCCGTCATCGCCAAAAATCACTCATGATGTGTTTACGAGTTGAACCACGGACCAAAAAGACAACTTCCTATTCCTTAGCACTGCGTCGGCACATTCTGGTCAATCATATCCGTCGGAACAAGCAAGACGACCCTACCCCATCATGACTCAGAGGTCTAGATGGGCTTGCACGCCGTGCCGAAAGCGGAAGGTAGGAGAGTAATCCCTTTGCAAGGGAACTTCTTCTTGATAGCTAATCCGACCTCATCTGTTAGATCAAGTGCGATGCAGCTGTGCCACGATGTTCACAATGCTTGGCTAAGACTTTTGAATGCGATTATGCATACACAAGACAACGAGCACCCACAAGCCGGAAGTATGCTAGGGCGAGACTGATGGAGAATCAACTATAGACGCTGACATTTGCCCCCACGTAGATCTCGCCATGATCTCATACGGTCATTAGAGCGAGTCGAGAACAAATTGGAAAGCTTTCTCTCGGTCGCTCCCTTGGCTACGACACCGTCATACCGTCATACAAATAGTCCTTCAAGGTTTCTGTGGCCTTGTACAACTTTGGGCCTTGAAGCTTCTTGTCCAGATGTTCTTTATCAACTCGTCCGACGAGGCACGGGCGTGATGCTCGATCAATCGCAGTCGATCATTGACTTTACGTATCAAGGTAATTTCTCAACTGTGTATTTCACGGCTCTTTCGTCAGCCAGCTCACAAGAAGCGAAGGTTCTTGTCAGATCTTCTCATTGCTGAACACGAAATGCGTCAATCTTATTTTGGGTGATCACAGCCTCAGCACTGCATCCATAGAGTCATTGAAGCAAGTTGGCGAGCCGCGCTTCACGATCTCGCTGTCACAGACAGCTGTTCCGCGTAATCTAAGACAGGCTTGCCTTGAAAGTAAGTGTCTATCAGAGCCTCGCCCGAAGTCTCTCTTTCGGATTAACATGAAGCTAATATAAGAGATCGCAGGTTTCGTTTCAGAGTCAACTAACGCATGTGGCATGTTCCAGTCGAGCGAAATTATTGCAATCTTTCGCGAATATGATCACAGACGAACCTCACCTTCGCCAAAGGTTTGTGCCGCTGTCAACATTGTGTGCGCTTACGCTATTCAATCTAATAGCATAGAAGAGGTTGACTCTTCAGAACGCTGTCTACACACGGCGCTGAATATGTTGCCATCACTTATGTTAGAGACGCCAGATTCGGTTACAATTGGCACCTTACTTCTTATGGTATGCCATCATAGATCCAGATTCTTGTTCATCTCCTAGCTGATTACTAACAATCAAAGGCCTTATTTCTTTCGTCTACGTCAAGGTTGTCAACGTCAGCCATGGTACTAGGCGTTGCCTCTCAAATGATGTTTCTCGCCGGGTTCCACAAAATATCCACCACCTTGGCCGAAAGAGCAATCCACAATCATCGTCTGCTCTCGCATGCTTATATACTTGACCAGAACCTCTCCTTATGGCTCGGGAAGCCACCGCTGTTATCTCCAGACATCGTGCGAGATGTTCCAAAGCAAGAGCAATATGATGGCCATGGAAGTATTTATCTCCAAGACGGCACATCGTTTAATTGCCTCAAAGAACAGCTTCTTTTGGCTAAGATTCAAAGTAAAGCATACGAGAAGTTGCGCTCACCTGCCTCCTCGTCAATGTCACAAGATTTACACGCTGAAATCAGCCATAAGCTTCTAAATGAGTTGAATTTGTGGAGACATAATCTGCCGGCACTCACCAGGCCACTTTTGATACCGAAAGTCCTCGAAAAGAAGCATGTGCCATGGCTGTCTACCATCTTCTGCACTTTTCACCAGGTTGAAAATTGCATTCGCTCATCAATCTTCTCACATGTTTCGTTCTTTGACCATGTAGCCTTCCGTAATCAGGCACCGCTCGTTGTCTCAAGTTGCGCTTCCGCGACTAGAAAGTTGGTAGCAGTCTCGAATGCTCTTGACAGGAGTGATCTACAGAGATCGTAAGTGACCATTGATCAATGTTCTGATGCCGGTGAATGGTATTTTGACTGTCTGCTCAGGCACTTGCTACCTTTGGTCGCATGGAACCTAGATTCCCTGTTTCTCCATGTCGCTTATAACAGGCATACATCGGCAGCTCAACATGACAGTCAGTCAATCAGGGCTGTGATGAACTCATTTGAGGGAAGCTTTCCAGGATATCGCCACCACAAGGCTTATGTCACTACCAAGCTTCTATGCGACGTAGCTTCACGAGCAAGCACATAGTAAATGTCGAATGAGGAAAGGTAAAAGGAATGATAATGCGGGTTAATTCAAGACAATAAGGCACAAAAGGCTGGAAAGCCACAAATCACGATTTCCATTATTCATTTCATTGACCACTTGTTGGAAGAATCACCGGACTGTGTCGTTGCGGGTGATCGGGAATAGTTGCCACGAGTCAAATGCCCCATTCTTTGCTGGAGACATCTTGCAGGAGGTAGTGTCAGCCTAATGTGGCGGCAAGCTGAGCATAGTCCACAATGGAACTCGGAAGTAAGGACCCAAGCTTCAGTGGAGCACAAACTTCGTGAGGGAATTAATCAGGAAATGGCTGCTGCCCCGATATTCCGATCAAATCGTTCCAACTTCGGCTACAGTGTTGGCTTCTCGGCTTTGCACCCTCTACACATGGTGACATGGACAACTCACCATTGACAAATCATCTGCAGAACCAAACATGGCAGTACTATGTCACAATAGTTCTGAATACCTCAAGCGTGGCGGAGACGTTGATACGATGCTAGTTTCCAAGAGCATCCTTGATCGATGATCCAATGTCTGTCACCCAATGGCGGCCTCTGGAATGGGGAGATGGCAGATTTCTGAAAAGGCAAGAAGAGGCTATTGTTAGCGTCGGAATCCGGAACCGACAATGGATTACTTGCAGTCGGTAATTATGTTGGCTGAAGCGAGTGGCTTAGCGGCGGGAGCGAAGCATTTGCCAGCAATCCCGATGCAGGGGCTGGAGGCTCAATTAAGCAGTAACAAGACCTTTTTGGTGCCTGCGCATCAGTCTTGCGATCGGGTACATTGCAAAGGTGATGATGGCCAGGCAGGCTTCGAGGGACCCGCGTTGATCAAAGCCCAGGCTCCAAATTGCGACTGACAATGTTCCAGATCCCGACCAAGATTCCATACGGTTGGGAATGACGGATTCTACTATGGAGATCCGATTCCTTACTCAGTCGCTCTTCTCGTACAGCGAGGCACAGCAAGCTCGGCATGCGAGGGAATCGATGAGAATTTTCCCTCGTAAACTGGGATGCCCCTGACTCGACAGCAAGTAAAAGAGGAACCCTAGTGGACGCACTCTCCACCAAATACCTTGTCAGATCATCTGATAACTATCCAGCAACCGCAACGACATTGAGAGCCCGCCCAAGGGAATAATGGGGGCCCCGATGACGCCGAGCCAGTGAGCGGACTCGACTTCCGCGGCAACCTGAGAACCGGATACGACAGACGTCACTTTGCGGCCGGTCAGCAATGGCGGTGCCGGCTCGCCGGCTTAAGGAGCGATTCCCGCTTCGCCGGACATCGACGCTAGGGGCAAGTATTCCGTCTAGTCCTTCACTCCATCACGGACAATAGATCCTTTGGACGAATCATATCTTGTTGATGAGAGGTTGCTCTGGATCCGCATACATGTGTATTGGTGATGATATTTTAACAGCGTGGGTCCGCATATGGGATCAGCGATGGGTCAGACATTGCAGGTACGCGATGATATAAATCTTTTCAAATCCATCTGCTCGCCGTGCATACTTGCTAAGTTCTTGTTCTTCGCGCCGTTCTTTTCAATCGTTGTTGTGTTGGCTCAGACGTCCATTGCGCATCCAAAGTGCGTTCCCTTCTTTACAGCACCCGCCTGTCGCTGATCTCGTAGAAACCAATATGGCCGCCAACACTTCGACAACGCCTCATGTGTCTGAGGAGAACCATGTTGCCGGCGAAAACGACATCGAAAAAAGCACTGCCCAGAACTCGGTTGATATCCATGCCGAGCCTATGAAGCTTGACTATGAGGAGGGTCCCGAGCACAAGCAAGATGGTGTCAAGAAGGTGGAGGCCATCACCTCGGTGTGGTCTTGGAAGATGCTCTGGGTTGTCTTTGCCCTGTAAGTCTTTGCGTTATTATCATTCCTCCTGCGAAGGCTCTCCACCACCGCCATGGAATTCTTTCGATCGACGCCTAATTGTTTTTACACAGCTTGTACCTCGTTTCCTTCACCGACGGCCTTTTACAATCTGTCCAGAGCAACCTGACGCCTTACGTGACCTCCTCATTCGGTCAGCATGGATTGCTTGCGACTACCAGCATTGTCTCCACGATTCTCGGCGGTGTCTCCAAGCTCACGATCGCCAAGATCATCGATATTCGCGGCCGTGCGGAAGGCTTCGCCGGCATGGTCTTCCTCGTCACCATCGGCATGGTCATGAAGGCTACGTGCCAGAACGTTGAGACGTACGCTGCCGCGCAGACGATTTTCTGGGTTGGCCATCTTGGACTCATCTACATCATAACTATCGTTCTCTCCGATATGACTTCCCTGAGAAATCGTATGACTATCATCGCTTTGAACGGCACGCCGACGATCGCCACGACTTTTGCCGGTCCCGAGATTGCGCAGCTGTTTTATGATGAGGTCAACTTCCGCTGGGCATTCGGCGCCTTTGCCATCATCTTGATCGGTTTCAGTGTTCCTGTCGCTGTTATCTTCTTCTTGAGCGAGATCAAAGCCAAGAAGACTGGTTTGATCCCCCTTAAGCAGAAGACCCGGTCTACCTGGGAATCTACCAAGCATTACTTCATCGAATTTGACGGTACGTAGCAACTACTTGCAAAGATACAAATCACCCCTCGGAGCTTGAATTGCTAATGATTCTAGTTGTTGGCTTGATCTTGGTGATGGCCGGATGGTCCATGCTTCTGTTACCATTTTCTCTTGTCTCCAATGCCACCCATCAGTGGAAGAGCCCTACGATCATCTGCTTGATTGTATTTGGTGTCATTGGATTGGCTCTTTTCGCTCTATGGGAGAGAAACTTCGCCAAAGTCTCCCTGTTCCCGTACCACTTCTTGAAGGATAGAACCATTCTGGGCGCCTGCTTGGTATACGGTATCATGTTCGCCTCCATCTAGTAAGTTGACACTGATATAACGGCGTCTCCATGCCAATCCTGTATTAACAGCCATCTTTAGCTGCTGGGATTCATATTACCAATCTTATTTGCAAGTCGCGCACAATCAAGATATTACGAGCTCTGGCTACATCCTCAATGCCTTCAGCTTGACCTCTGCAATCATTTCTCCCTTCATCGGAGTGTGAGTCCACTTGTACATCAGTCAAAGACCTTTTACTAACCCTAATCCAAGTGCGATTCGATACACCGGCCGCTTCAAGTACATCGCCCTTTCCGGAGTACCTATCTGCGTCCTCGGCACTGCGCTACTCATTCACTTCCGTACCCCGTCAACCACCGTTGGTTACCTTGTCATGTGCCAGATCTTCAACGGCGTTGCCAGCGGCATCTTCAGCATCTGCTCCCAAATCGCCATTATGTCGTCTGTCACTCACCAGCAGATCGCCATTGCTCTCGCGTTGCACGGGCTCTTCGGTTCCATCGGTGCTGCCATCGGCTTAGCTATCGCTGGTGGTATCTGGAACAATGTTCTTAAGAAGAACATCTATGCCCAGCTCCCCGAAGGCAGCAAGGACCTTACTGCAAGCATTTACGCCAGTATCGAAACGCAGCTCTCGTACCCCATGGGCAGCCCTATTCGCACGGCGATTATTGCGGCATATGCAGACGTTCAGCGGAAGATGGTCATTGCTGGTTGCGCCTTCATTCCCCTAGTGCTTTTGTCCTTGCTTATCTGGCGTAACATCAACGTTAAGACTGTGGAGGAGGAGAAGGGAAAACAGACGAAGGGAACTGTTTTCTAATCTGTACTGGCACTCTTCCTATACCTAAACGCCTACGTTCTGCTGTATATGTTCCACGATAACCCATTAAAACGGAAATTTTGGAGAGGGTAGGACTTACCTATTACTGCTTAGACTGCAATATGTTATTTCAAAATCTTCTTGACAAACGTTCACATTATTGACCTTCTCGCCTTATCTAAGTCATATAATTTTCATGAAATGATCACATTTTTCAGATACACTCCAGATTTTGCCTATGTTTAGACAGGGGGGTTTCCCGTAATGAAGTTTGATTAGGCATTATAGACTAAGAACACTTCCTTACTTCGGACAAAGTCGCCCGTTCTGAGTTGGGTAATACTCAAGCTGATCCGTAATGTACCAATCCTCAGAACCTACAGCCGTCGTCGCATAAAGTAATCCCCAAGGATCGTACTTCTGCTTGAGCTGATACAAGTAGTCGTAGTTGCTGCCGTAGAAGGCCTGTTGCCAGTTCGGCTCGTTAATGTCTGCCTCGTTGAGATACGCTCCGGCGCCGGGACTGGCTTCACGCCATGGCTGCAGCATCTCCACCAAATTCTTGTTCGCAGCAGCGATCTCTGCAGGAGTGGCCTCCTGACTCCATACGGTTCCCAGCATCGCGTGCATCAAAGTCTCGCGGAAGGCCGGGTTCACGGCATTAGTTTGGTTGACGGAAGGATTGACTGCAGTTTTGAAGTTGTACCCAAGCATCATGCCAGCAACCTCAACACTTTGACGCAAAGCCTTCGTCTGCGCAGCTAGCTTGCTTTCATTCTCCCAGTTGGAGCGCGGGAAGAGACGGGAAGCAGTGTGGAAGTTCCACGCACCAACGACTTCGGATTCTGCAGGCCAAGTGTTTATGACAGTGTTGAGAACGCCGTCGAATTCGGTGTACTTGGAATCGGCGACGGGAATATGCAGAGCAGAGAGATTGGAGAATAGCGGTGCAGAGACGGCGGTCAATTTGGCTGTATCCATATCATTTCCCCATTGAGGCGCCATGGAGAAGCTGCAAGCTGTTGTTGGAGCGCACATGATGGACCAGTAGCTGTACATGCCAGCGTCGGCATAGACAGGGAATTGGGCAAACACAGCGTCGACGCCAGACCAGAAGGTCTCCGTGGAGACATTGTTGCTAGTTGCGAAGCTGTAAGTAAGCGTAGTTACGGAAGTCTTAGGGTAGGCTCGGATGACGAGCGAGGTAACGATGCCCCATGTGCTCCCACCTCCTCCACGGAGGGCAAAGAACAGATCCGGATAGTTCTTTTCGTCTACAGAAACAAATCGCCCATTCGGTAGGACAACCTCCATTGAGAGAACTTGATCGGCGGCAACACCATACTTTGACATCAATGGGGAATGCCCACCCCCGGCGGTATATCCGCCACCAATACCGACAGTCTATCTGAAGCATCAGAAGAGTTAAACGAAACCGAAATGATAGCGGGGAACCTACGCGGGCAATACCACCAACAATATGGAGACCAAGCTCATCGGCTACCTCGTAGAGCTTCAGGGCCTGGATACCAGACCCAATCTTGAATGCTGGACCAATGTATCCAGATATTCGGTGATGGTAATCAGTTCCAAGGTACTGGATACTTTGCAAAGCATGAGTCCATATCGAAAGCGCGCCGCCACCAGAGGACTTCGCATTGAAGTCATGTCCCTTGTTCTTAACGATCAAACGGACGTTGAGATTGCGAGCGAAGTTGACCGCAAGCTGGATCTGGGCTACGTTCGTGACCTTGACAACATACGAAGGGTTCCCCCCCTGAGTACAGTTGGCGCCAATTCGAGCGATGCTCGGAGGGACACAGCTGACTCCCTCAAAGATGGGGTAGTCTAAGCCGGTTGGCTCAGACATTCTTCGATGTTGTTAGCGAGCCGCCCATAATTCCCTGCATAGACTTAGCTTACTGATATTGGGGGGTTGTCCACGCTGCCGTAATCTCATTGCACTTGGCTGCATCGTATTGAGGCCAGTCCGTGTAGCATGGCGCAGCAGCAGGAACCCCGTCAAGCAGCGCACCTCCCATGAGAAGGTCAAGTAAGAACCAAGTTAAGTCAGACGGCCATGCACGATCACCGGGGAATACCTTGCATGAACGCGCAGTTCGCTTCTCAACGGCAGCTTCGCCATCGCCAAAGTCAAACGCAGCAGTGCCAGTAAGATTGTACGTTGTTAAGTTTGCGATTACGTCTGCCGTAAGTTGAGAAGATTCAAAGTCGAAATACTCGATCCCTGATGGGGCCGCATCAGATGCCACAGCCTGAACTGCGGGAGCAATGGTCTCGGCTGTGATAGCTACTTGAGAACATGGTCAGCTGAATCCCAGATTGTAGTGTGCTGGCAGATTTATGTGTATGAGTGTAAAAAGGCTAGATGAAAGACACGAATTCTTTGCATACCGGAGTTATCGCTGGCGTCACCTTCTTGGGCTGTTTGGCTCAAAGCCAAGTCAGCAAACGATATTGCTATGACCAAGGCCGACGGGCGCAACATGATGCCCAGTTGAAGGTTGACAGAACCCAAAAGGAGCGAAGAGACACCAACAAGCACAGCTACCAGGGATCAATCCTATTGAGCGCATTCTATGGACTCCCTTTTATACGTGCGACCTCCTGGTGGGATTCAACTCGCCGGGCTTAACCCGAGTCGGTAATCTTTGCTATCGACTAGGTTATGGGCGCACAATCCACCAAACCCAATATTTGGATGGGGTCTTCGAGACATGTATGGCAATGTCATGTGCGCCTTGGAGTTCGATCGGAATCCGCCATTAGCATTGTCTGGACGGCCAATCATGAACTATCTGATCAAGTTAGCTTCTCGTCGGGAAAGTGTCCAGAAGAGGGCTGCTCGGATGTGAGATACCACCCGAGAGCCCATAAGCACAATCGTTCCACCGTCTAGAACTTTAGACAGCTCCATAAGTGACCCAGGGTCCTGGCTGATGGTGGAGCACGAATGTATCCACAAGCAGCGCATCAGTCAACTCAGGCAAGGGGATCATGGATGCCATGGGTGATGCAAGAAATAATACACATGTTCTGATCACCGGCTTGTGCTTCTCCATTATGACATGCCCAATCGACACGGCTTTCCGTGTGGCTCTTGTTTCCGAACCATCGTGTCCTTGACATCTAGAATTTGAGCAACTGCGAATTTCGAAAGCTCCATTGTCAAAATACCAATTATGCGACCATGCAACCTTTGTTGAGATGTGCCATCAATACATCGGACCATCATGCGTGTACCACGGGCTGAAAAATGCCGCTGAAGGAAGCAACCACCGAAATTGTTATCTAGACTACGCCTCCGGGCTGCATATTGGCCTGTTCTCCAACAAGAACTTTTGTACAAACAACACCGGCAGCAAGGAATCCGAGCCAACGACTTTCTATCCCAGCTTTTTAACTAGGTTCAGTGGCTCTAACACATGTTGGACATCCAACGGCGACGGGCGGCAACATTGAAGTAGGCGGGGACGCGCACCACTTTCTTCGGTTGTTGGCGCTAAGGCGTGGTGTTCTCCATACAATTGCAAGGGGCACCGGGGCAGTAGTAGATGTCCAACAACCAACAAGGAAGGGGTCTGATGGATGGAAGAAACCCCTGAAGTTTCTCACAAAATGAATTTGCAAGAAGGAACGAGGCAAGGGAGGCTGCCCAGACGACATTAAGTTATCTGCAAAACGAAGATATTCATCGACTACAGGGATGACTACTCACTCATCCACTCTTAAAGCTGACCAATTGTATACTATACCAATGCAGAGCCAAATTCGAAGTTGTTGGCGGGGACTTCATCATTAAAATACATGGTAATGAAGTTTTCTGCGTTGCTCCATCATGAGATACCGTTAATGATAGACCAGGGGTTTTCCGAGTCTTAGGGATATTGTCGGCGAATCCTGCCAACTTGATGTCTACTGTCTAGACGTCTTGAGAGATTGCCATCCGTTGACCCATGCTTGATTTTGAGTCCTTCTCAGGAGATGGGACTCTAAGACCTTCATTTTGAAGGGGCCAGCATCAAATTGTTATGCCCTGGAGAACTCACTCTCGTCCTGCAAGAAGAGTGCAGGAAGGGTAGGTGTGGCCGTGAATGTTCCTCATCATCGGGGCACAGTCATGAACCCAGCAGATCGGGTGTGCTTGCGTCGATGCGGACCTCGGAAATATGGCTTTAGTCTTTTGCCACATGCCGAACAGCTCGCAACTGACGCAGACGAGAGGATCAGGTCACCGGTCCGCCTAGATGCAGTCTTCGCAAGTGCCCCGGAGATATTCTGCTTAACATCCCGGTCGCCGAAGTCTCGAACGCCCTTTCTTCATCTCTCTTCTTCAGTCGTGCAAGTGGAATGGACCAAGGATACTGAAGCAGGGCATTGTAGCCACAGGGATAGCATGTGCCGCAATCGTACTGATAAAGGAGGAGCCAAAGACCTTTTGCAAGATGGAATGTTGGTTGGATGAAGTTTTTGGCATGTTTTCCTGTCCGGCTATTCCATAAATCATTGACTGTGCACCTTGCTTCGTTGAATACCATGAACCTCATCTACCCCAGCTGATGTTCAACCACACGGTTCGGAGGATCATCACCTTCTTATTCTACGGCTTCTTTATCTCAGTTGGAGTAGTTCCAAACCCAAGATGACGGAAGCTCCCACTAGTTGGCTACAGAACCTTGGCATTGCCATTGAGGTCGCTTGCCCAACTCTGGCACTCATTGCGATAAGTTTGCGACTCTACATCAGAATTGATACGAAGACCTTCGGCTGGGGTATGTTCTGCTCGTAAACACTTTATCTTTCCCATGAAACTGATCGTCACGCCCTAAGATGACGCCTGCATATGTGTCGCGATGGCTCTCTCAATTGCCCTAGCTATCGGATCCATTATATGTAAGTCTAGACTCATCAAGAATCAGAGTTACCGAAATACAAGCTAATATCCGCTCATCTATCCAGGTATGAAAGAGCTCTACATAGGCATTCACTATTGGGACGTTCCCTTGCCCATGAACCCGACGACAGGAATGATCTGGATCTACATTGTCGGCGCTGTCTACAATCCGATTCTCGCACTGGTCAAACAGTCTGTCCTCATCTTCCTGATCCGTTTCTCTGGTGTCAAAGACGTAGTGAGATACGTTGTCTGGGCAACAGCTACATTTAATCTCGCGCTCATGATCGCCACCTTTGTTGCTGTCATTTTTCAATGCACGCCCATTGAGAAGAACTGGAAACCGACCTTGGCAGGGAGTTGCCTTGAGCAATTCTCGTTCGGAATATCGACTGCATGCTTGACTATTCTGACAGATCTTGTCTCTGTTGGTCTCCCATTTTACATCTTCCTGGGCTTGAAGATGCAGAAGAAAAGGAAGATTGGGCTGATGATTGTTTTCATGCTCGGAATCATGTCTGCAACCTTGTACCATTCCACATTCTCGTACATTACGTTTTGCTAACTGTGTATTACTGGCAGTGTTACAGCCGCGAGCGTCATTCGTCTCTACTTCCTTGCCAAAAACTTCACCGACAAGAGTCTCGATGCGAACTTTTCCCTTGGTTTCTGTGTTTCCTCCATTGAGTGTAACTTGGCCATCATGACAGCATCTGCACCAGCTCTTTGGCCTCTTATTCGACGATGGATGCCTCAGCTGAAGTCTTCCAAGGACCAAGGTTATTATGAGCACCAGTATCACACTGGTCAACAAGGATGGATTAGGACAGGTGATGGCCGCGAAGGCGCGTCTTCAAATGCCAACGGGGACATCGGTCTGAGAGGTATCAACATCAGGTACACCAAGACTGAAGCCCATTTCAGCGGCTCTTTTGCTCGAGAATCGGACGAGGAGTTGATGAAAGGTACTGGTATCATGCGAACAACCAACTTCGAGGTCACACACGATGACGATGACCCACGGAGTGTGGCACAATAACCACCGGAATATATCATTCTATTCACATCTCGCGAGATGCAGCAACTCATTCATGAGGAAATTGATGGGTTGTAGGGAGGTAGGAGTCTCATGGCTTATGTTTATGACGACTCTTAGTGTCTTGATGTATGGTTTCCTACATGTTCAATTTTTATCATTTACTTGTCGTGACTCAAACTGAAACAATTCCTTGTTAGGAAAGAAGGTGGATTTTCGATGCAAAAGTTTTCCAAAAGTAGTGTTTCTATAAATCCAACTACCTGTTGTGTACCTGACTAGTCATCATGCGGTTCATTCTGTAAGGGCATCACAGGAGGCTGACCGGACCCATGGCAATGAACTCTGAGGCTCCATGTGTGAACAGAAAAGGGTTACTGATACAATGCTTCCTCCCATCTGTTCTGAAGTCAAGTATCGAGCGAGGCCTCATGATAATCCTGTTCGGGGGGTTTTGCTATCCTTGAAGTTCCCCTTACTTAAGCGGCTCCAGAGAGTCTCAATGTGCCTTACCTCAAGTAAGAATTTCCATCCCCGATCGCGTGGGCCAAGTGGAGCATATGCTGGCAGGGATTATATCCGGAAATTATCCTGGGTTCATCCCAAGTAAGTTGGACGTAATCCAGAAACTCTGTTTGATGGCGTCGTCAGAACGTGTGTCCAGTAATTCAACGGCTTGGAGTTGTCCGCGTAGTCAAATGTGTGCAGTCAAATAACTTCACTGACGATATTCTATTTCGGATTTGTGTGCCAATTTGGCTCAAGTTACCGTCCCGTCCCGTCCGCCACACCGGGACGATGTGGGGATCCTCCGATCGAGATCTGGGCGCGCTGGTATCACATGACCGTGACACGGTACGATACGCCCATATGCTATCCCCCAGGCTCTCCCAGGCTCTTGGTATTTGCACGGGGACATGGTCAAAGAGGAACAATTCCTGCCTTCCATCGCGGCCAGGCCCTTGCATCTTACATGCAATGCGCGCGGCACGGGATTGCCGACTGAATCGCCTCATTCTTAGCAATGGTGTTAAGACCCCGCCTGGTTTACCCCCTTAGGCAGGAGATGAATTGCCGTGTGGCGGCCCCATTTTCCCCGGCTCTTACAACCCAATTAGTAAATAAACTCTGACGGCTGGATACAGGAACCATGGAATCACGACGTTGTAATTTGTTCTGTAGGGGGTGTAAGCTGGCCTCGCGCTAATGCCCAATCAGAAGGGGCCTTTTCCTCTTTAATCAGCGGGCAAAGGCTATCCCATCGGCAGCTACTGGTTCAGATAAATATTCTCGTTGAGGGCTCCTGATTCTCTTTGAAGATTTCCTGAGTGACTCCGTCGTCCCAAAACACATTCGTTAACTACAATGGCCAGACATCGTGTCTCGTTCTTTGGGCTCATAGTCGCCGCCAGCGTCTCAGCCTTTCTGACGGAGGACGAATTTCCTTGGCAACCTCCCGGACCAGGAGACTTGCGCTCGCCATGCCCCGGTATTAACACTCTCGCTAATCACGGATTGCTGCCGCGCGACGGTCGCAACATTGACCTGGAGGTTCTTGGGGAAGCCACGGCACTGGGCTACAACATGGAGCACAACACCATGCTGGCAGTCGGCATCCCCGCATTGACGACATCGACAACGGGAAATAGCTCGACTTTTCACCTCAGCGATGTCGATCAGCACATACCGCAAGTCATTGAGCACGATGGAAGCATAACCCGCGACGACAAGTACTTTGGCGACAGCAACAGCTTTAGCCATGCCGCATGGGGCCGCGCATTGGCTTCTTGGGGTGATATTGAGATCATCGACGTACGTTTTCCAGCCCTTGTTGTAGTTGCTATCTTTCGCACAGCTAAGAAAATCCACTTGTAGTTCGCTGCTGCTGCCAGAGAAATCAAAGCCCGCTTCGAATGGGGCGAAGCAAACAACCCAGAGTTCAACGCCACCTTTGCGAGAACAGGCTCACTTCTTCAGTATGCCTTGCTTCTGTCGGCATTTGGGGATTACGGAAACGCCAACATGACTTTGGTTCGGTATTGGGTCGAGCATGAGAGGCTTCCACTGAGACTGGGTTGGCAACCACCTGTCAACAACATCAACTCCACCATGAACAGACTCATTGCTGCGAATATTTCTGCCTTGTGGGTTTAGAGTCTCGTGCATACAGAGAGCTCAGCACGGCGTTAAGAGAGACAGCAGATGCAAGGTCTGTTCTGTTGATCGCGCAGCCACCTTCGTGTAAATAAGAAATGTCGGCTACATCTAACGATGCATCCTCTGTTCATATGAAAACGTCACATACTCAATGCATTCTTCTCCAAAAGATTGGCAAATTCAATCCAAACTAACTTAGTTTTAAGAGGGAAGCTACCAACTAGAGTAAATAGCACCTTCGTAGGCTTTGAGTTCAAGGCTCCCATCTTCAATCCTCTTGGCGTTGTTGCCAAGTAGTTGGTTCCAGCCATCAAAATCCTTTAGTGGTAAGTTTTGCTCCTTGTCTGAAAAGTTCAAGAGAACCAGTACCTTCCTGCCTTCATAGCTTTCCATGGTGAAAGCAAATAGTTCCTCGCTTTCCTCATAGTCCTTCACTTCGGAGAACGTGCCGTATACAAAAATGTCCTTCTCTTGCTGTCGAAGGCTCAAGACTCGCCTCCAAAACGCTAGCACGCTGTCCTTATCCTTCTCTTGTCGCTCAACGTTCCACTCGCCATAGTCATCGTTGACGCGCATCCACGGTTTTGAGCCCTTGGTGAAGCCTCCGTGTGCTTCGGCACTCCACTGCATGGGCAGTCGCCCATTGTCTCTCGCCTTGATTCTCATCTCCGCCAAAACATCCGACATATCCGCGTCTTTGCCCCTCTTCTGAAGCACGCTATTGTAGTAGTTCTTGCCCTCGACATCGGCATAGTCGTCAATCGTCCAAGACTCTGGGAGGTTTGCCATTCCGATTTCTTGCCCCTGAAGCAGAAATAATGTGCCGCTCAGAGTGCCAAGATAGATGGCCAACATCTTGGCGGCCTCTTTCCTGTACTGAGGCAAGTCCGACGCGTATCGTGAGAGCGAGCGGCCAGAGTCGTGGTTGTCAAAGTAGACCGCGTTCCAGCCGTCACACTTCAACATTGCCTTCTGCCAGAGGTTGGTAATGGTCTTGAGTTTCGAGAGGCGGTAGTCGCCGTGCTCATACTTGTGGTTCTTGCCAAAATCCATGTCCACGATGTCTCCAGTGAAGACCATGTTGAGTTCGTGTCTATCCTTGGCAACATACTCGGCGACGCTGTTTTCATCCTTGGTGAAGCCTAACTCACCAACCGTCATGCATCTGTACTTGTCGAAGACCTTCTCGCGCATCTCCCGGATGTACTCGTGCATCCGAGGACCACTGGCGTAGTACAGATCACCGGGCTGGAACTCCGAGTCAGGCCTCGTTACGGGTGCGTCAGGCAGGTCGGGGTGTTTTGACATGAGATTCATCGAGTCGATTCTGAAGCCATCGGCGCCGCGATCCAGCCAGAATTCCATATCAGAATACGTCGCGCGACGCATGTCCTCGTTGGTCCAGTTGAGGTCTGGTTGTGAAGGCAGGAAGAGCGAAAGGTAGTACTGCCCCGTTTGCTCATCCCATGTCCAGGCACTGCCACCAAATATGGAAGCCCAATTATTGGGTGGATGGCGGTTGCCACTCGAGTCGATCTTGGAGTCTCGCCAGAAATACCAGTCCCTCTTGGAAGATGACTTTGACGAGCGAGACTCTCTAAACCATTCGTGTTCATCGCTGGTGTGATTGACGACGAGATCTAGGAGGACCTTGATGCCCCTTTCATGGCACCCCTTGATCAAGCTCTCTGCATCTGCAACAGTACCGTATGGCCTGTGAATGTCGCGGTAATCGGATATGTCGTAGCCCATGTCATTTTGAGGGCTCTTGAAGATGGGAGAAAGCCAAATAGCCGTGGCTCCAACGGATTTGATATAGTCCAGCTTCGAGATAATTCCGGAAATATCACCAAGTCCGTCATTGTTGGAATCGAGAAAGCTGGCCGGGTAAATCTGGTAGACGACAGCTTCTTTCCACCATTGTCTGTCTGGGGGACCTGAAGTCGCCATAGTGGCTCTGGTGAAAAAGAAAAGACCGTTAGAAGAGCTTGTGTTTTGACGATAAGGCGTGGGTAGATTAAAGAGTAAGGACAGTCGTAGGTTTGCAACAAATGGGCGTTCCAAGAGGTCAAGCTTGTTCGCTTCTTATGTTCAGTCTCCAGACTCCCAGCTTTTGAAGTTGGCTCATGGAAACTTAACCCCCGCAGCTACCTACCCCAGATCATCGAGTCTCAGTGATGATTGGGGGTTGGCGCCAGAAACATTCGCACTAATAGCAGCCTCATCCGGATGACTTGGGTGGCGTGGTGAAGGCGGCTGAATTTCCGTGGCTGAATTATGATTCGTCTGCATCAGCGTGGGGAAGCTGCTAGTGCTTGGCAGCAGTCATTCCACACTGCAGTGTAGATAGATGCTGAGTCAGCCCAAGATCTTTCCGTGGGGCTGCAAGCTTAAGACACTTACACAGATCGGTTCAAGTCGCCACATTTCAGCGGTGGACTAGGATATATTACTGGTGAGATGTGAGCGCGTTGTTGGAGTAGCTCTTTCGGTCTCGAAATTTAGACACAGAGTTGACTGAACTGCCTGCCTCTTGGTGGATACCACGGAGAGACGCGGAGAAAAAGACAAACACGGGGAAGGCAAATTTTGCCGGGCTCTTAAAAAACCGTAGCCTGCACGTGGGACTATGGGGCTGAACGACGCTCAAATTCTCGGGATATTGAAAACGGACGAGTGGCTGGTGGCTAAAGCGCTCCGCTGGGCCACAGTGCCGAAAACAAGCCTCACGCCGCACTTTGACAGCAAGAACACTTCATGTTATTTCTGAGGTTGCTTTCCTTGAGTACACTTCTTCACATTGGCCTACCTTAATCATTCGACTTTGTACATCACACATCTTGTCAACATTGTCTAGCTTTGTTATCCATCTAATCACACAACCACCAGGCGAAGGTTTTCGCGCAGTTTCTAAGAGGATCCGTAGTTCAAAGTCGCATTGCTGTGTTTTTTAAGGTGCACATACTAAGTACTTGAGTAAGAACCCAAAACCAACATCCGATGCAGTAGACTCCGCGCCAGAGCTAAAGTGCGAATAACTCAAGACACCAACGTGGAGCTGCTAGTTGAAACTGGATTCAGAGTAATAGTATTATCGACTGATTTCATTAAGTCTTTTGATCAGACGAGTAGGCCCCGCCATGCCTGGCCCAAGTCTTCGGCGAGCAAAAGATGCCTCGGCCGAAGTCCGAAATCAGTTTTGTTGCATTAACTTCGGAAATAATACTAGTCAGAAGTCCTCAAACATGTAGCTACACAGACACTAGAGGGTAGATTGAGCAGTCTCGTGATGCGCACATGCTGCAATCCGTAAAATCGAGCCATGCTTCCCTACAGATTGACAAGGGCCATGTTAGCTCGTCATCAAGTTGATCGTACTTTGTTGACGTTCCGGTCTACGCGAGTATGTGTTCGACCAATCTGTTAGTTCAAGGGTCTCAAGGCCATCTCTGACCCGCGATTCTGGTCCTTGTTCTTCATGTATAGGTGGTTAGACAACTTTGGCCCACAGGCTCATCACTCATTGGTATCCAAACTTCCGTAAGTGAAGCTATAGTCACGATTCTAGCGAATTTGCCAAGACTTACAAATCTGATTGTTCAGTCTCTCGATATTTCCTTCCATAGACCATGAATGGCGTGAAGATGGGATCATCGCAGTTTTTTGCGTGGAAATGTTCATCCCCAGAAGGTGGGTGCAAGCACCTTTCACGACTTATTGCCGTAGCTCGTGGCTGAAGTGTTGTGTTAGTGAGTTGCCAGTTCTCCACCAGAAAGTTGAACAACCAATCGAAATTCAACCATTCCAACCGGTGCCAACAAAGATCAATGATCCACCAACTTGGTATTTCGAGCGAGACATGCGAATATGAGCAGACACACAGACCGGTCCAGTCAGATGGCGAATCCAAGGACTTGTTCTCCTTGCTAGTGCGTCAAATTCCCCCATGGCGAGTTCCCCGTGGGGACTGCTGCCACGGCCCACAGGTGTCATCCGATGCAGATGTATAGAGTATTCGGAACCGAGCACATGGCTCGCTGAAACCTCCTATTCCAATTTGTATAAAGTCTTGAGAGCCCGCCTACATGGTTCCGAATAATGTTTTCCTCCAGCTCATCTAAAACCATCTTATTAAATATAATTCTCCCGGCTCGATCCTCTCATCTTGTTTTCTTCCACAATGGACGCCAAAACAGCAGAGGCGACTACCGTCGTCGACCACGACCATGTCGAAAAACTCGCTATTGCGGACGAAGCCGTTACGAAGGCAACTGAGAACCAAGACCTGACCCCCAAGCAGCAATACCAGCGTCTTTGGACAAACCTCAAGCAAGACAAGCGTTATGTCTTCTGGGCACTCTACATCATGTCCCTCGTCTTCGGATGGGGTTACGACTCTGGACTTTCAGGAGCTGCCATTGCCTTTCCCGAGTTTCGCAAGGCTTACGGAGACTACTACCAAGTCGGAGACCAATATGTCATCCCCGCCCTCTGGCAATCTCTTTGGAACGCTGCCAGCACCATCGGTCAGGTCTTCGGTGCCTTCCTCACCGGTCAATTCGCCGACACCGTTGGCCGCAGAGCCGTTCTCTGGACAGCCGTCATTCTCTCCCTTTCTTCTTCATTTGCCCTGGTCTTCGCTCCAAGCCTGCCCGTACTCTTCGTCTCCAAGCTGCTGCTCGGTTTCTCAGTCGGCTTGTCAACCGTTACGCCTCCGCTCTACGTTACTGAAAATGCTCCTCCTGCACTTCGAAGCTCCCTCAGCTCGCTGACTAACGTCATCATTGTTCTCGGTTTCTTCCTGTCTTCCATCACAGCATGGGGATCCTCCAAGATTGAAGGCCAATGGAGCTACCGCCTGGCGTTCGCCATGACTTTCCTTGTCCCGACCCTCTTCATGATTGTCCTGCCGTGGCTCCCCGAGTCTCCCGTGTGGTACGTCAAGAAGGGCAGAGACGAAGATGCCCGAAAGGCCATCTTCAAGCTCTACGGAAAGAATATCGATGTTGAGGAGAGACTCAACTTCATCAAGTCCGAGCTCGAGCTTGCTGCTGGAGAAGCCAACATGGCTAAGCAGACCAGCTGGAGAGCCATCTTTTCCAAGGAGCACCGTTTCCGTACGCTTGTTGCGGTTCTTGGATTACAGTCGCAGAACTTCTCTGGTGGATACTTTGCAAGTGAGTAATCGTCACGCATCCAAATCGACGAACAGACTGCTAACTTAACGGTTCTAGACACCTACCAGACCTACTACTTCGAGCTTATCGGCCAGGCTGATCCCTTCGGACTCACTGCGATCTCCTCCACCCTCCAATTCCTCTCGAACTGCGTAGCAGTCACAGTCTCCGACGTACTCCCGCGCAGAAAGTCTTTGGTCGGCGGCGGCGCGTTGCTGTGCTGCTGGTCTATCATCATCGGTGGCACATCTCTCGCTGGAACTGCGAACTACTCGGCAAACATGGCTCTTCTCGCTTTCATGATCACATGGTCGATGTTGTACACAGCTACAGTGGGCTGCTTCGGCTGGGCCGTCGCTCAAGAGACTGCCTCTCAAGCCACAAGGCCCAAGACCATCGCCTTCAGCTTGGTGTGTCAGCAGCTTACAGCCCTTCTCTTGTCCTCGGTGTTCCCATTCTTCATCAACCCTGACCAGCTGAACTGGGGTGGAAAGATCATGTTTCTGTTTGTCGGCGCCGAGGTGTTCGTCCTTGGACTTCTCTTCTTCTTCCAGCCCGAGACGAAGAACAGAACCTACCAGGATATCGATCACATGTATTCCCAGGGGATTCCGGCAAGGAAGTTTAGCGAATACGTTGTGGTGGATGGAGTGGCCGTCAAGAAGGCCACCTCTTGAGACAGTGCAGAGTACACTTTTTCATAGGCACAGGAAGGTTTTCGAGTCTGTTGTTTATCTAGGTTTCCAAACCATATCTTCATATAAAGCGATCCGTTTTCAAGTTTTGAAAATTCAGCCTAAATTTTGACAAAGGATGGGGAAGAGATACCACGCTAGTAATGCAAGTTCCTTACTTGGGTTAGTTCAGAAATTGCCCCCAGAACGACGTTGCGGAGAGTGCGGAGTCTTACCATAAACCTGGAGAACTTCTGCCCGCAACGCGAAGTAACCCCCTACCACACCCTTCATCCATCCTGCATGACGCTTTTCTTATCTTTGCTTCTTCACGATCTATCTTCTATTAATACGTATCATGTCCCAAGAAGCCAACACACGGTACTCTAAGAGGCTACCCAAGGTTCGACAGGCTTGTGATCCATGTCACTCGCGCAAAATCCGCTGCGACGGGCGCTGGCCCTGCGCAAACTGCCAGGAGACAATATTGGAGTGCACCTATGTGGCGGTTCCGAAGAAGACAGGGCCGAAAGGTCCCCGCCATGCACGGAAATTTATCCAACGGCAACAGATCAATCCACAACAGTCTACATCCTTTGCCGTGAACCCAGATGTAAGAGAAACCGGATACGGGTCCCAGACGAGCAGATCACCACATGCAGTCACGCCACCATCACCGGCTCAGAATGCGACTCCGAGGGACCCCGGCTTTCAAGCCTCGCCCCTAGTATCGACTGATATCATACAGTGGTGTCTCGATGCCTTCTTCAGGCACAAATACCCACTTACACCCATCTTACATCGACAACAAGTCGAAGAATGCATACGCGATCTCTCAATCTCACCCGAGAAATACGGGCTTATGACAGCCTGCTCAGCCGTCATATCCCTCTCGCCCGAGATCCTACAGCCACCAGACCCGCCCTCAAATACGTCGACCGAAGTGCCTGCGCCTATTCTTCCAACAACAGAGTTTCTCATCTCAGAAACTCTTCGAGCTAGACGTCAATGCGATCTCGCCGAGCATCAGTCCTTACTTCATGCGCAAACCTCCTTCTTCCTATTCTCGGCCTTCTTCTGCATGGACAACGATAATGCTGCATGGTACTATCTCCGAGAGTCAATCACCATTTTACAGACGCTACGCCTACATGAAGAAGCCACGTACAGCGACATTAACGATCCGGTCCTGGCGACGTATGCTCGACACATGTTTTGGGTTCTGTTCATCACGGAAAGAGCATATGCGCTGCAGAGGCACAGGCCGCTGACACTGCAGAGCACCTTGGGCCTACCCATTGTTGACCCTCTAAGCTCAGATGCCGCAATCTTACCGGGGTTCCTTGATCTCATCTCTCTTTTCCGGCACTTCGATACCGACTTCATAGCAACCTGGAATTCGTCCACGCCATCCACAACATCGTCTTCGGAAGCAACAGACCCAGAACATCTCTCGAAACTACAAACCGTCCTGAAATACGCGATCCCAAGTGTCTCAAACTATTCCGAGATGCAGCAAGCCGACCTCTTGATCTCACGGCAATGGCTCAAGGTTATTGTGTGGAAGCTATGCGTGTCCAAGACGCTCTTATCTATCACTGATAGCGAGGATAGCATGTCACTGAGCTACCCTACCGCTGTAGCACGCGATGTGGTGCTTATATCACGGCTGCTACCAGCCAAAGCCTTTGAAGCCAATGGCGTTGGCATACTGGAGAAGGTATTTGATGTAGGATGCTCACTAGCGGATCTGATATCGCTCGGTCCTGCTACTAATCAGGGCTCAGCAATACATGTCGGTCCAATTGACATCCTGATGGAAATTGTAAGGATAGTTGGAACGACCCTTGGCGGAAACTATCGGCACTTGGATATGTTGTACAATAAGGCAAGTAACTGCCTTCTGATGAGCGTAGACAGGGGCCTATCTCCAGCTGGCTATGTAGAAGAAAGGAGGCTCGAGGAAATCATCGAGTAAACAGATATTTAATCCAGTTGGTGTTTCGGGGTTAATATAGCTCTCGCTAATCGTGCCAAAGTATTCATGTGAGGTACTTTGTAGGCTTGACCAAATCACCGCTGCGCCTGCTAAAGGTACACCTGTGGTAGTACGTTTATCCCCATCCGAAATGGAGGCTACCAGTACTTCCCATCTACGCCCATTTTGCTCTCCACCTTTCGTCATGCTACATACATTATAAGGCGAGCCACTCAACGATGCGAGCCTGGGTCTTGCCCCAACATCCATGTTGCTTAAATTGTACCAGAGCTATCCTCATAATGGGCTTTCCAACAGAAGCTGTAATTGCTATCATGACTCTATTTGTTACCCTTCCACCCGCTCTAATCGGAGTCATCCAATTGATGGAACGAAGAAGAATTCTCCGCCCGGGACTTCCAGGTAAATGATTGGCGTTGGATTACTTTCTATTCTTACGTATCTCAGAGGTGAGAATTTCCAGGGTTGAGGATACGCTAACAAGTCGTAATTCAGCGCCAGCGGTTACCGCTCATGCTCGGCCACGATCGTTATGGGAGCTCGACCCCATCGCCGTGATTTCGCCCGATGCTTTCGACACAGTGGGATGGTATTCTGTGACACGTGAAACGTGCAAGTTCGAACACATGCAGTTGAAATTGGGGCGATCGCGGCCTCGTTGGTCATCAGCTTGCTAGCACCTAGGCTTCGGAAGATCATGGTCTTGTTCATTTTACGTTCGGCGCTCCTGTCAGTGAGTCCTCCTCTTGATCTGGAGACAGGTGCCGCTATCGTGCGTGCAGCTCCGAGCACTCAGATCATTTTGGACGATGGCCCGATGATATGTTTGTCTCTGATTGTTGGATAGGTCAGTTAGATTGGGTCGCGACGAAGATTTGGATGTCGACATAAGTAGGTAGTCAAGAGACGATATAGAGCGAACTTGCCCATCCAAGTACCTTTGCGCTTCTTCTCCCGCTCTCATGTTGTGTTTTGATTCCATTGCGCAGCGTATAAGTGCATTTCTATCACCACAGTCATCATTTCAGGCTACCTTATGCGATCGACTGCAAGTCGACGTCAGTCCAAGTATCTCCAGTTTGTTACCAACTCAACACCGAAGATAAGTATTTAATTGAAGGGAATAGCGGAAATGGGATCAGATTATCATATGACTGGCCATTACACCTCGTAAATGTACGTACCTTTGTACTGACGTCGACTAAGTAGGTAGCAGTCGATGGGACAGTTGACTTTCATTTCAACGGAGGCTGCCGTCGCTAGTGTCGCTCTTTCAGTCGCTCTTCCCTCCATCATATTCCGAGTGCTATCCCATGAAGCGCGAGATAAGGTTAGATACATGTCCCCTGTATTTCCTCTAATTTGACGTCTATCTCAATTTTTTCAGTTAAGGGGAATGACGGGGACAGGGTCGGATCATCACTTTACTGGCTGGAACTCTGATCAGTGACGTACTGACGTTAACTCGCGCTTACTGGGAGAATGGTTTTGTCAAGAATAAATACTCACCGATCTCCCACGTCACTTTTGTCTTTGCTTGTCTGCTCTCATTTTCCCAAGGTCTTCATGGACATACCTAGATAAGGATGCTCCGGGATCGCAGCTTACTATGTAACGCCGGCAGTCTCCGCCCTCGCTCAAATCCCACTACAAAGTCTGGACCCGAATGCCCACCGCAAGCTTTCCGCACTTACACCCCGCCGACCGGACCGGGACGGTGCTTAGTAACGCACGAGACCCTGACGTACGCGAGGGTTACTTTAGATCCTTCGAGGCCAAGCTGTTAGCCATGAGAAAGCTCTGGCGGTGCCGCTTGCTGACGCTTGACTGCATCACCAATTATGGGTGGAGAGGGCTACATGTAATCGCAAAACCAGAGCCCTATCGGCGGTCGTCCGGGCCTCGGCGCCTTGGAACGGGACGGGGAAGTAAGATCGACCCGGCGCGCCCACCTCGACGGGACGGACCGTTAGCCAAAAAAAGACCGAGACTTACACATATTTGAAACTGTGTAGAATTAGTGATGGCAACAGTTTCGTAGCCACCCGAAGGTGGACCTGCGAATTCATTTAGCGCGAAATACGAGTTTGAGATCTTCCGTCTTACCAAAGAAACATCTCATTTCAAGACACATCCTCTCTTGCTGCAAATTCTACAGTCGTGTCAAGTTGAGGTGTCGCAGCTTTTTTGGGCTTTCCCATGTGCCCATCTCGCAGGAGAGGGGGAAATAGCACCTTTAATTCAAGAGAGGGGAATCAAGATAAATAGCAATAATACTCAAAACCGCCTAGTGCTTCGCTGAAGGTTGGGATGCCGCAGCTACTAGAGGTCACGTTATTCAAGGCTTGCTGGAACGAGCTTAGTTGAAATGGGCGGTCCAGACATTGGGGGGTCGTAAACTGCGGCAGATGCTCAGCCACGTCTTCCAAGAATACAGATTCGCCGACACCAAGATGTTGCTCTCATGTCAGCCGGATTTCTTGGCCATTGGTAGAATGAATTTCACCTATGCAGCGGAATCGGCATCCAACGCCGTGGGCCGGGCTCATTTTGCATGCCGTTTTCCCTCAAGATGAACCCGAAGTTCACTTTCCCTACTGTACATATACATACGACGTCCCTTTTGAACCTTTTCGTTCTCAAGTAGCCGCATCGAAGTAATATGCTCCTTTTTCAAGTTTCCAGTTACCTACGATCGCTTCTCTGACGATGAGCTTCTCAACAGAAGCTGTCATTGCCCTTATCGCCCTCCTTCTCGGTCTCCCTCCCGCCGCAATTGTAGTCTTTCAATGGATCCAACGACAGAATCAACATCTCTCTGAACTTCCAGGTAAGTTTCCCCCGGTGTACTTACTTATTCCCCTTTCTTGGTTTCCCGGGCTGCAATTTTTGAGAGCCCAAACGTTTCTTATATTCAAACAACATATGAACACCTGACACGCGCTTACCATCTCTGATTCAGCGCCCGCGATCTCAAGCCTGGGACAACCACGATCATTGTGGAGACCAGACCTCGATGCCTCGACTGAGCTATCGACACTTACACGCCGCAACCTCGACGACTTGGAATGGTACTCCGTCACACGAGAAACTTTCAATTACACGAGGGTAACATCGGATCGCTCGAGGTCTTCTTGGTAGCATTAGGATTATGCATAACGTCGCACTCCCTCGACTTGCGTGTTTGTCCGACTGTGTATTTAGCCACGGATGGTGCAGGTGCATCCCGTCGACGGTGGACAATGCGGGCAGGCCAAGCCCAGCGCACCGCACCTCGACAGCACGGCAAGTGGATCGCCGGGTGATCTGGAGGTATATCACAGATTATGCGAAGCTTTCGGCCGACTGGGTGTTGCACGGGTTATCAAAACGTGTGCATCTATAGACTTTTCCCCATTTTTGTTTCCTCACCTATATGCACCTTACTTATTCGACCGCTTGTCCCATTCACCGCGTGTCGTGTAGGAGATCTTGGAAGGTACCTAGCCCATATTTGCCCCGCAGATGATGATCTCTTGCACCTTTTCAAAACCAATTGATGTTTTTTGTCCTTGATAGTAGCTCAACGGTGTTGCTAGTTATTCCTGCTTTTCCTTCCAACGGAAGCCATTATTGCTATAATCGCGCTACTTGTCGCCCTTCCCCCGGCCCTCATGGTCGTCATTCAATGGATGCGACGCCATCGACTTTATGTCACTGAACTGCCAGGTAATCTCCCTGCTCCTGGCTCTCTCGTCTTGTGCATCAGTCGATTCTGCCTCTTTTACTTCGCCCTTTCATGATGGTTTACCTTGAAAGTACGCTGACGAGGTATATTTCATATCTCAGCGTCCCCAAATTCCACATTTGCTCGAACTCGGCCATCCTGGAGACCCGAGACCGATAGCCCCTCCGCGATAGCTTCATTTTCGCAAAACGATCCTTTGGCACTGGACTGGTACTCCATGACCAGGGAGACGTGCATTTATACAAGGGTTACATCAAAATGGTCGGCATCGACCGAGACTTCTGCTTGCTAGGAGTTGTTAAATCATAGGCCTCCGGGAAAGTCATGGGGTGTCAGGTTGTTGCATTGAATTCCTGCGTGTATGGAATGTCGAAACACAATTCATCATTTTAGTCTACCTTGTCTGGGTTGCCTTGAGTTTGTTTGAACATCGAATCCGCGTCAAAGTTCTAGCGTTTCTAAAAAGCTGGAGATATTCAAATATGGCCTTCGGCAACTGCCATTATGGTATTGCGATCGCGTGCCAGTAATGCGGAGGCGGAGGCTCACGGAAGAGTGGAGGCGAGCGCCTGGGCGGCGTGGAACATGAGAATCGAGGGGACTGAGCGGTACCCAAACTGGGAGGAGCCTTCTTTTAAACTATTGACATCGTTACTAGGGCAACTGGCACCTCAACCTAAGATACTTACGTGCATACTTACTTAACTTATTGGAGAAGCGGGGGTGCCTTAGTATTCCTCCTGGGTGAACCTCCGACGCAATACCTTAGGTAATGTACTACTGTGCACCGGAGTACTTGTTTGAGTGCCAAAGGTGTAAGATCCATTTCCTTGAACGGTGAAATTCCTAGGTACCTCATTTGGTCCTGGTTTCTTGTCGGATGCAACAGTTCTTTACTAATTCCATGGCGAAGATAGGCCAAAGAGGGCGTCGCTTCGAGTTCAGACAGAACCAACTATGAGGTACGTAGTAAGCATTCATCGGTAACGTTCAACAATCTGGGTTGAACTCAGGAGGTAAGCTGCGTTTTGCAATCGCCGGGCTCATTCTGCAGTCCTACTTAGCGATTATATCATAATTGCTAGTCTTCAGCGGCAGTTGGTGGCGAGTGACCGGAGCACGGGCGGGGTGGAAACAGCGGCCCCACTCACCGGTCGGTGGCCGATGGCCAGAATAAGTAAGTCACGTCTCAGTAAGCCGAAAAGTACCTCCTAGGAAGAGTAACTCATCAAAGTATCATGATGCCAAGGTTCTATATTTTGAATTAGTCAGGATATTGAGAGAGTGTTTTGATGGCGTGCGAAGTCTACTGGGTGTGCCTCATTTGACCGACAGCAAAAGCGAATGTCTTGTTTCGGAGGCAGTCTTCTATATGTTCGGCCCCCGACGCGGCAGCGGGAGAAACAATAGACGTGAACGCTTGTCTGATGATCGTCGAGGTACCTTAACTTACTGGAGGATAATTACCCAAGAGACCTCGAGTACGAAGTAGGGGGTAAGCAATCTAGCCCCAGCCTTACGGACAGCCCAGGCCTAGGCAGGCATATCAGCGCGGAGACGCGCACTCGGCGGCCTCCTGGCCACTTCCACTATATCATAGGTAAGTAAGGTAGACTGTGAAGGCAATGACGTTTGTTCCACTCGGGAACGTGTACTTAAACGAGGAGATGATGGGTTGCAAACCGATTTTCAAGGCGGTCCTCGATGCGTTTGACGTGTGGGCATGGTTCGAGTGTTTCCTTAGGAGGCCTCATTTAAAGTGAGAAGCCAGGTGCGAACATAGATTAAACGGACTGGAATTGTCGAGCAGAACGGGCTGAGAACATAATAATATGTGAACGGACGGAAGGTGACGAGACTGCGTACTGGAAGGATGCAGCCACAGTGGCAGTGCTCCGTGCCAACCCCAAGACGTCACGATGTAAGAGTTGGATACCGGTCAACAATATGGCGTATAGACTGTGCTTGAAAAGGCTGAGAACGGCGATCTAGAGACCATCTAGCACGCTATCTGAGTACTGGGTTTCTTGTCATTCACGGTGCAGCTTTAAGGGTGAGAATGTAAGGCTAATTGCCCGTCGACGTCATTGTCTGGGCGTGCTTCATAGATTGCCACACTCCCAGAGAAGGGGTTTGTTACGTCCACTGGGCTGTGTGTGTGTGTGTGTGCCAGTATGTTGGTGCTGCGAAATACGCCCGGCCAGTTGGCCTGACAGGCGCAGGAGGACGTTACCTTATTCTCGGTTGCGCTCGACCATGAGCAAGGGACAGGTGCAAATCAACATTTAAATACCCAAAAGGACCCCTTCCAAAGCCCATTTTCCTTGGGAAAACTGGACAACTCGCCACTACAGCACTGATACTCGAATCCTCGTCTCCAACTCCAAAGCCTCAGTCATTCGGTTACAACCTAGCGGTAAGACCTACCATACTTAGTACCTTGTTGACAGACGCCCGAATCCTCATCCGTCCTCCGAAAGGCTACATATTCTCTTCTGGAGGCCAACATGGCCATCTCAGTAGAGGCCACCGTTGGCCTCATTGCCCTCTTCATCGCCCTTCTACAAACCGTATTCGCCATTGCCCAGACCCTATTTGCCTTCCTTCAATGGATGAGCCGCAAGAACGACCTCACCCCTGCCTCGACACGCAAGCCCCCAAGACATCTGACTTGGCTCTCGCATCAACACATTCATCTCGCGATGAGTTCTGCTGACAGCGAACTAGTTGATCATTCCGCTGGCAGCCGCATCACAAAGATCGTTCAGAATCGTATTTTGAGTAAGTAGAACCCCCTATCTATGCATGACCGTTGACACGAGTAACGTCTGACTGAAGCTCCATCTAGTGCCCTCTACGCCCGACAGTCGTCGCATTCGGCCTCGCAACACCGAAGGCACTTCTCAGATCCCCTGGGCGGCCCAGCCCGGAAGACAGCTTCTCGATTGCGGCAAGGAGGTGACCTGGCACCTGTCCGTCACGAACGGCGCCATGGCAGATGGAGGAAACAGCTGGACTTCAGCCCCTGCTTTTATACCAACGGTCTAATACTCTGTATTCGTACATCAGACGAACTCCCGGCAACACCTCGGTGCACCCCAATTGGCAACGGCCACAAATACCCATTTTCTTTTCGCATACGCATCACCGGTCATACTTGAGCCGGAGATTTGGCTCGAGCGCTGCAGCTCATAAATTGGATCAGCATTGTTTGGGACAGCGAAAATGCATCAGCAACTCAGGTTCATGTACCATAGTCTTTTCTGCCTTTGGCTTAGTTGATACCCAGCAGCCTTCTGCACTCATAAGAGAACCGAATACTTTTCTATACCCGCACTCCACCAAGATAGTCCTCAAAGACCTCGAAATTGCCCTCATTCTTGCGATCGTAGACCGCAAACCAAACCTCCCTCCACCACCCACCCCCAAACTCTGCCTCGCCCAGCACCTCAAGCCAACACTTGACAATCTCCTCAGGTGGATTTCTGAATGCACCGCACCCCAACGCGCCCAGCACAAGCAGACTGTGCCCCCGACTCGCCGCCATCCTCAAACAAAGCCTCATCTTACTCATCGTGAGCGTGCGGTCTGTCTCCTTAGCAAACTCATACACTTCTTCGTCCCCAGCAGGCGTAGAGATTTTCCGCTTCACTACTTCCGGTCTCCGAATCGCCGCAATGCTAAGCACACTCACAACAGGTAAATCGTCATACGCAACTCGCGGGACGAGAAGTTTGTGACCGCTCGCCATATCACCTCGGATGACAACCACATCAGGCGTGTAAAGCCCTCCGCGGCGCTTGAAGGGATAATACCGCTTATGCAAGCTGAGATAAAGCGACGAACGATAGCACATAGCCTCCTCCTGCGCAATCGCACCTTTCAACCATCCGCCGCCGGCGTGGATATCTGAAGCCATATTCAGCACAGCCACACGGCCGCCATCAGGTCGGCGCGCAGCGAGTTCGATTGCGGCATTGAGCGAGTCCTCGTTGACGATCTTAATCTTTGCGCGCGGGGTGTGTCCCGGGCAGGCTGAGGTTTTGAGAGGCGGGAGGTAGTCCAGGTGCAGATCTTCTGATTTCGAGGCGTTGATGTTGGGGAGGTGGGGAAGGATCTGGGGAAGCGCGGAGCGGGTTTCTGCTGCGACGGCGGCGAGTGATGGACTTGAGCGGTCTGATGGTTTTTGGGCGGGTTTTGACGAGGATGAGGGGCCTGGTGCTGATGATGATTGCGTGGGGGACTGCTGATTTGGCGAGCGAGGTTTCTTCTGTACTCCGCCGCCGTTCCTAGAGAAGGCGAAGTCGAAGAGGTTTCTCTGCGGCATCGTGATGTTTGATGTTGAGACGCTGCTTGACGGTTGAAGTTGACAAAAGCTTTAGGTTGAGATGAAGGATTGATATGGCGTCTTGGGATGGATGCCTAGCGCCTGAACGAGACGGAATGTGCCTAGAAGCCAGATCCTTGCTGCGGGGTTAATGGTTCGGACGGTTGGTGCTGTGTGTGCCTGGAGATCTCTTGCGCCGCCGAGATTTTTGCAAGGATGCGCGTTCTGATTGATGAATTACCAAGAGAGGCAATGTATTCGCGGAATCGCTGACGTTAAAAGGTGGAGAAGAATCCGAGATGTTGGATTGGAAAGAAATAAGGTTGTCGATGTTCAGTAGCTGCCGTCGATATTAGAAGTGAACCGGCTGACCGGGCTGACTCACTAGTGGTGCCAATTTCTCTCCAACCGTTCGGACGCACGTGTTGGTCAAAAGCCGTTGCAACGGAAGGCGCATTGAGAGCGAATAGATAAGGCAAGACACAAGTGGTAAGAGCATCAGAGAAGGAGCTGACGACAGGTGATTCGTGTAATTGCGCTTGTGGCTCTTCACGCGGACACTCCGTGGTTTCTGTGTTCCTATGTGTATCGAGGCTGAGTGTTGGGCATGGGTATCATTTCAGATTTGTCTAGATGATTTATACATGGTGTTACAAAACTTTACATCCTTCAATGTGCCTCTCATATCTTTAATAGGCATCTTTAGGCTTTTGTCTTTATGGCTCCCTCAGGAATCGCATCCTCAGCCTCAAATTTGCGCGGGATAAGACCTTCGGCCATATCAATCGCGCTCTGCATGTCATTCTTGTTGAACAAGAACAAGCCCTGGATCGCAGCTGTACTCGTGAACCGGTTCGCTGTCTCCCCGGCGCCGTTACCAAAGAGACCCAGATCTTCCAGTCTCTGCAAGAATCGTTCCCGACCAGCACCGTCTGTGTCCACGTCGCCGTAGAAGCGGTCCCACATCAGACCTGCCTGGTACTTAGTCGCCTCGCCGATACGCATCATCATGTCTACTCGACCCGGTCGAATCAGCGCCGGATCAAGACGCTCAATATGGTTCGTGGTCAAGAACGCGATGCGCTCCTCGCCGGCAGCCAAGCCGTCAAGAGCATTGAGCAGGCCAGAGAAGGTGACACTAGCGCCGCTGTAGCCATCGGCATCGCGCTGCCGGCGATTGACGAACGCTGAATCCGCGTCCTCTAGCAAGAGAATACTCCTGCGGGGCAATTTCGTCAAGAGATATGCCAGCTTGTCGTCCGTCATACCCATCTCGCTGAGGTTGACCATGGCCACGCTAAAGTCCAGCTCACCAGCAAGAGACTGGATAAAGGAACTCTTGCCGCTGCCAGGGGGTCCGAACAGCAGGTATCCACGGCGGTAGGGGATGCCGCGGTCAACATACCACTGCTGTCGTCCCAGGAAATCCTTGACGTCGTCCACGATGCCTTCCTTCACGCCCTCATCCAGTATAACCGAGCCGAGAGGTCGCTTCTTCCGAGGATCACCGAGCGGCGCCCATTCCATGCCTCTTGCAGAGTATACGACCGTCTTGCCCTCGTTCGCTTTCGCCGCCAGCGCGTGCGCCTCACCAAATATGTCCTCGAAGACGTGACGGTGCGCCCACAGCGTCGTCAATTGTACGATTTCGTGAGGCTCGCCCGTGTTCATGTTGGCCGTATTGTGCTTCTCGCGGTTGATTGCGATGAACGCATTCTTGTGCTTGACGATATGTCGCCCGTACCCAGGCTGTAGGAAAAAGTGCGCATTTGTCGGGCTATTTGCACCTCGCTGGGTGGTAGTGGTCGTCGAGACGGAGAGGTTGTGGATGCGGGTGATGCGCGAGGCAATGAAACCGGCTTGCTCGCGCGGCTGCGACAGCCACGCGAGAATCCAAGGGTACGCTGGATCCTGCTTGCTGATTTCGACATTGACGAGGAGGCGGCGGCGAGCAGCTCCGGCTGCGACGACGACGCCTTTGCGACCGAAGGCTGCGACTGCGCCTAAGCTCGCGAGGCCGATGCCGCCGGCGAAGAGGGGGTTGTTGAAGAGGGCATCGAGGTTGAAGATCGAGGCTGGGCCGGACGACGCTGCTGTCGGTGCTGCGATCGGAGCTGCCACCGGTATAGCAGCCGCCGGCGATGCAATCGGTGCTGTCGAAGCTGTGATTTCGGTCGGGGACATGATCAACGACGGTTGTGATGGCTCCAGGCTCGCATCGCGCGATGTTGGTGCGAGCTTTGGGAATGTGGAAATGTTCGACGATTTTTTGAGACGGACCGGAAGCTTGAGCAGGGGTGATGGAGCTTGCCTCAAGTCACGGAAGGCTCTGAGCAAAATCCCCGGTCAAGCGTTCAGGGGTCTACCCCTGTCGCTACGTGCCCTGAGAACCCTTGCGGCCCCGTACTCCGTACTGTGTAAGTACTGGACAGCTCTTTCCACAACTGCTCGGTGACATTCTCACCAATGTTCCTTGACATTAACGTCTCTATGGATCTGCACCTTCCTGTTCCCTCTAGAAGCACTATATTCGAATCAGAGATGTTCTCGGAAGCTTTTTGATGCACGATGCCTAAAAGCTGCATTCCCTCAAACTCCGGCAGTGCAGCTCTATTCAGGACACCGGAAAAGACCATTAAATAACCAGTGTCGGGACCATCAACGGTTAATTGTTCTTCGATGATGCCAGCATCTTAGACGGACTCCAATCTGGTATTCGGTTAGTTGGCCCTGATTATTTCGCGGCTGCTGCATCTACGGGAATCTAGCTGCCGCATCTTAGTGTGAGACGAAACAGACTAATTTCGCCAGAATCCGACCAAGATCACCCCTAGCAGAATCCCGAGAAACAAGGGCCACCATCAGGTGGTGTCGATGAGGCTACTAGAAGCTGGATAGAAGCCCAAGAGAAAGATAACTCGGAATGGGATCGTGGCAAGATTACGCATAACTACATGGGGTCGGCGCCTAAGTTCAAGATCAGAAAAGTCATCATGTTGTCCCTGGTTGTTTTCACTGCGTACCTCATCCAGCCCTTTCGAATTGTAGAAGGATGAGGCCAATTGACTAAAAACCCAACAGAAGCTTGGAAATCTCTATCTTCATTCCCGCTCGTGTCTAGCTCTTCGAGGAGTTTGGCTTGACCCTGATACAGGCAATCGTGCCTTGACCAATGTGCGTCTTCACTCTCGGCTTGAGTCCTGTCGTTGGCGGTCCATCATTGGAGGAAGTTGGCCGGCACCGCGTCTCATGAGTCTCTCTCTGGATGGGCCCTTAACTCTCGGCGTGAGGTTCTGCCCCAGCTTCGCCGGAATATGCGCCCCCCGGTTTCTCGTAGGGCTCTGAATCTCTTGCAGCTTGACTATCTCAATGCTCTGTCTTCGACCACGTACATCATAATGCCGTTTCCTGGTCCAGGGCTGGTGGACGTCTGCATCGCTCTCTCACGCAGCCACAACCGCGAACAAAAAATATCCCAGTGATAGGAGCTGCCGTCGTGAAGCAGAAGAGCTGGTGCTGCAATACGCATTTAGCACTGCGTACGGCTCCGGAATTGAGCAGCATGGCATAGTCTTTATCTCGATAGCAGTGAGATGCGTCCTAGGAGCCTTGACCGTTGTATTTTATAGAATCCCATGCCCGTTGGAACACCGCCAGAGTACAGATTTCTGGCCATGTTCGGGTATATCGGGTTCTCACTGGGGCTTTTGATTGGGCAAGGTTATCCGGGACGAGAGCATTTCCGACACAGTCACGAAAATACTGAGATATGGCTGTCAACGTAAAGAAGCATAACTTGATGGTTCAGATATTCATAACTGAGCACATGCTGACGTTGCAGAGGAAAAAGTGACAGCTCGGGCTGGCCCGAAGATGGTGATCGGCGGCGTGGAGCAGTCTTCCAGCCGGGGAAATGTCCGATCGTGCCGATGTAACTGGGTACACCTGAAAACGGGAGTTTGGGGGGCTGGATGTGGAACCCCCACGAACCCAAACTTGTGACTTTTTGGGTGTTAGCCCGTTGAGAGCATCATTCCGTGAGGTACCAGGATGAATCGAGCAGGGTTCAATATGACGAACCAAGCGCGACGGCGTAAAACAAAAACAGGGGCATTTGTGGAGGGGTTATCTCTGTTGGTCGACATCGGGATGAGGGGGAGGGGAACGCAGACGAAGTGCGTACGTCGCCTTTATCTATCAGATCAATTTTTTTCTTCCAATTCTGAGGATAGTCTGGGAAGGGGTCTCGCGCGTTTCGACCAGACATGGAGATGAGACGCGCAAGTCCTTCAAGAGATATCCGCTTCATGGTGTGACCCTTTGCCATTTTGGTGTTATCCCTTCGGCTGGGGCTGTGCCGAATTTGGTTTGCTGGGCGTCCAGGGCCACCCCACGGCAACTCCAGTCTCCAAGAGCACCAAGAAATCCCAAGACAAAACCACGCAGCACGGCAAAACGGCACTCATTTTATTTTGCTAGTGAATCCATCGCGGTGTGCTCTTGGTATCTTCTTGGCTCAGCCAGGCACCCAGCCATTGCCAGCCAATAGACCATTACGCAACGCCGTCTGCCGGTGGCGCGGCTTATTCAGGCCAGATGAGGGGGACTGGATGGGGTGCAACACCTTGGCGCGCATGAGTTTGCTTTGCGCTTGGCCTTTTTGCTTTTCGAGTGTTGTCTTCTTTTTCCTTAGCCGTCTCAGTCGTCTGGTCTCATTCTTTAACCGGCCTTGTCCTGCAGCCACCAAGCCCAATTATGTTTCTGGCGTGGCGACCTTGTTTCTCACTCCTTCAACGACATCTCTAGAGTTTTTGTCGCATCTCAACTTTACAATGCCGCATCTACACCCATCGCGATAGCTTCATTCTATCCACCCCGTCAATGAGTTCAAGCGACATCTTCCACCTTCTTCAATGATCACGACGACGACCCACCTCATCACCACATCAGCCTCATTCTGCTGACGACGGTTGCTTCTCACTTAACCACAACGCAAAGGTATAGCTTACGTCACTCGAACGCTCCCTTGGCAGCCATTCCTCCCTCTCGATCAAGATCCAGTGTGTCCTGCGACATCACGCCTAGCTCCCATCGCCGGATCTTCAACTCTCTTGCGCTCTGCTTCCTTCCCGCGGCTCTGCATATGTGACTCTGACCTGCATCACCAACAACCGCCACCCAATCGCCGGTGCGTGACGGCCACCACCTCATGACAACCTCACCACACCACCACCACCACCCCCTCACCACGAACCACACCCAAAACCGCCCAATCACATCCGTCGCCAAACAAGAACAACCATGTTCCTCCCCTCACCACGCATAAGACGCCTCTTCATCCTCCTCTTCCTCGCCTTCCTCGTCGGCAACGCCCTCTTATTCCTCGTCCTCCCCCACGACAATCCCCTCGTCCTCGCCTTCCGCTTCAACACCGCCAGCCTCAAAAACTGGTGGCGCGGCCCGGGAACCGAAAAGGACGCCTGGCTGTACGAGCCCGCCAAGTTCCCCATCGAGTACCGCACCGACGTCGGCCTGCTCATCAAGACGGGCTACGGAACTCGTCACCGGCTCGCGGCGCAGCTTGAGGCATTTGACCTCACGGCGCGGGATAAGGATGCGTTTGTGGTAGTGGGCGACTGGACGCCGCGGGAGAATGGGACGATTGCCGGGGTGAAGGTGCACGATGCCATTGGCGGCGTCATGGCGATGCCGGAGATGAGGGCCCATCATGATGCGCCCAAGTTTAAGGAGTATCTGGCCCTCAGGGATGCCGTGCAAAAAGGGGATGATGCTAAAGCTACTGAGATTGGCCAGAGTTTCGGGTGGGATCTGGATGCGCTCAAGGTAAATACTCTCCCTCCTTGTTTTCCCCGTGTGTTCGCGCACGCAAGGCAACGAGAGCGTCGTACTGACAGTAGCACAAGTTCATCTGGGGCCTCGAATACATCTACGACAACCTCCCGCCAAAGAAATGGTACGTCATCGTCGACGACGACACCTACCTCGTTAAATCCTCCCTCCGCCTCCTTCTCGCGCATTGGGACTCGGACGAGCCGCAGTACATTGGCAACGCAGTCGGCGACTTCAAGGGCCGCTTTGCGCACGGCGGATCAGCCGTCGTGATATCGCACGAGGCAGCGAAACAGCTCCTCTCTCGGCGGGACGTTGTCGCCGCGGCGCAGGAGCACTCGCTCGAGGAGACGTGGGGTGATAAGCTTGTCGCAACGGCGTTCCAGAAGATCGGGGTGTACCTCGATGAGCGGTACAGCCACTTCTTCAATGGCGAAAGGCCGAATATCAGCAAGATGATGGCGGACCGATTCTGCTCGCCGCTCGTGTCGTTTCACGGGGTGGCGGACCCAGCTGAGATGAAGAGAGTTGGACGGGCGTTTGCGGACGAGAGGAGTCCAGTATTCTGGGGACAGCTGTGGGAGATTTATGGCGCGCCGTCAGTGGAGGAGTTTAGGAGGATGCCGGTGCGGACTGGGCGTGATTATGTTGGGAGGATTGATGAGCGAGCGAAGATGGTGCACGCGGTTACCAGCGCAGAGGCGTGTTTGAAGGAGTGTGAGGGTATGGGGAGCAAGTGTTTGGCGTGGGCTTGGGTCGAGCACATCTCGGAGTGCAAGCTAAGCCCGTGGATGATTCTTGGGGAGGAAATAGAGGGGCACTATTCGGGGATCAACACGGACGAAGTTGAGAAGCTACAGGTAAGTTGTTAAGAAGGTGAACAGGTGGCCATAGACGGCAACGGTAGACATGAGAGCGTGATGATACCCAGGGAACACAGAGGCGTAGCGGTGGTTAGGATCGGATTACATTTCGTTGGTATTTCGGGGATGGCGCAGGTAACTTAGGATCTTACTTCGAAAATAAGAATCGATCCGTTTCTTTCTCAACGAGAAGTTCCTATTTGCTTATTGCAGGAGTATTTTGAGAGACTGACGACTCCGGCAGCAATCTCCACATGAATATATCTGATGCTACGGCACATCCGTATCCCCCGTGGGGGAAGCAACTTCACCGGTAGCTCGGTTTCGGGCGGGGTGCAACTCGGGCCCGATCGAGGACCGAGCTCCATAGGGCAGGTCCGGACCAGCCCCATCTAATATGTGGCTTAGCCATGAGATTCAGATGAGCACGTGTGTGGCTTGACCCCCAGGGCCCCATGAAACGAATCGGGCTGGCTGTCATCGTGCAGGGACAGTACCTTAGGTACCTATGGTGTGCTGCTGCAGCAGCGACCTTTCGGACGGGGAAAGTCACTGTGTGCCAGTCGGGCGTGGAAGGTCCCAGGTCCCTTGAGGTTTAGTGCGAGGGGCGTCAATGACGATGACGTCTCTGTCTCATTATGTGCGCGCACACGACACTGGACACACAGTCACTGACGCGAGCTAAGCCACGCTCCATCCCATCATTTTCGCCTCTTGCAATCAGTACGGCGCATTGCTGCAAGTTGGTCTAGAAGCCACGGATGCCAACTGGTTTGGTAGTGGTGGTCGACAAGACAGTTGACGTCAACTCTATCAACCAGCTTCCCACACCACCCACCAGCCCGTCATCGCATCGCATTGCCCCTCGGACATGGAATTAAACAGCAGCAAAGCTCCTTTGGGTCTGTCCGTTGGTTTCTAACGGTCAAGATTTAATTTCCACGTCTCCTTCCAATCCGCTTGGCAAACACCCTCACTGTTCAAAGCGAAATAAAGAAATCGAACAAGAAGCACCTCACGAAACGGACCACTCTCAGCTCTCATAGCTGTGTCTCCATCGCCTAGTCAACCAACCGAGCAGATCGACTTCATTTCCCAACTCTTTTCTCGAGGTTCCCTGTCGTTCATCGGTAGTGGAAACATTCCTCCCGTTTGGCCCTACCGTGGACCAACCCAGACACCAGAACTGCAAATCGCAGCTCCCAAATCCCTGTTCAGCTGTTGGGGAGCCCCGCCAAAAGCTGTTCTGAGCAGCAGGTCCCGTAACCAGCACAGCGAGTGCGGTCACTAAGCGGCGCCCAACCCCTGCGACACTACGACATCCCACTTTCCCATAAAGACAGGTCCAAGACAGCTCACCACACGCGGGTCTTTTTTCAAGAGACCCCGCCTGCAAGCCGTAACTTTTGGGAGAAACTTAGACACAACATACATCCACACGCACACACACGCACCCTCCAACTCCCTATTCTTTCTTCTCCTATATTCTCGAAGCCATTCACAACTCTGACGACAGCTGCCTCAAGTCTGCCACAACATCTCACACCCAACAACCGCGACCCCTCGAATCCACAATGGCGGCCCAGACCCCAACATCAGCTCAAGCTCAGGCCAACCAGGGCAGCTGGGGAGCTTTCCTCAAGGTATGCCCTTCCTCTGCTTCCTCTTCGCTACGAAGTCTTCCAACCTTCCCTCCCACCCCTGACACGAAAAACGTAGCAACTGACAACGGCTTTTCGCCGCCCTCTCACAGTCCATCGCCTCCTTCAACGGTGACCTCTCCTCCCTGACGGCCCCGCCCTTCATCCTCTCCAGCACCTCCCTGACCGAATTCTCCTCCTACTGGTGCGAGCACCCCTCCATCTTCGCTGCCCCCGCAAAGGAGGCAGACCCGGCCAAGCGCGCCCTGCTCGTCACAAAGTGGTTCATCAGCACCCTCAAGCAGCAGTACGCCTCCCGCAGCGAGCAGTACGGCAACGAGAAGAAGCCCCTCAACCCCTTCCTCGGCGAACTCTTCCTCGGAAAGTGGGAGGATGATGCTGGAACGACGGAGCTCATCAGTGAGCAGGTTAGGTAAGAGAGCCCTTGTTCCCCTGAGAGATACTCCAGACTCTAGAGCTAGGATGGGGACGCTGATCGCCGTTCTCTAAACAGCCACCACCCACCCGCGACAGCCTACTCCATCACCAACCTCCCTACTGGCGTCCATCTCGAGGGCTACAACGCACAAAAAGCTACCTTCAGCCGCACAATCAACATCAAGCAAATCGGCCATGCCGTCCTGACCATCCCGACCCCTGACGGCAAGAAGGAAACCTACCTCATCACCTTGCCCGCGCTCCACATCGAAGGCCTCATCTTCGGCGCTCCCTTCATCGAGCTCGAGGGCACCTCCTTCATCACCTCCTCCACGGGATACACCTCCAAGATCGACTACTCAGGCAAGGGCTGGCTCTCGGGCAAAAAGAACAGCGTCATTGCCTCCGTCTACCCGACAGGCAAGGAAAAGGATGTGGCCTACAACATCACGGGCGTCTGGACCAAATCTTTTGAAATCCACGAGGGCGCCGCAAAGCACAACTCCTCCAAGACCCTGATCGACACCTACGACGCATCGCAGCACCCAACCTCGAAGCTCATCGTCGCCCCCCTCGAGAAGCAGCACCCGCTCGAGTCCCGCCGCGCCTGGAAGGGCGTCGCCGACGGCATCGCAAAGGGCGACATGGACCTCGTCAGTCGCGAAAAGTCCGCTATTGAAAAGGCGCAGCGCGACCTCCGCGCAAAGGAGAAGACAGAGGGACGCACCTGGGACCGCAGGTACTTCACCGATCGCCAGAGCGCTGGTGATGCCGTGCTCGAATCCCTCGGTGGCGCCGTTGGTCTCCCTGCTACGGGCGATGCGGACAAGACGGGCGGTCTGTGGCGGTATGATGCAGAGAAGGCGGATAAGGTGCGCAGCCAGGCGGCGCTGAGCGAGGCGGACCAGGCCAAGATTGCGGGGGAGATTTTGGGACAGCAAAAGTCATCATGAGTTACGACGTACGACGAGAGAGAGAGGAATTCGATAATGAGGAAGGGCTTGAGAAATGAGTGTTTACCGGCATGGAGTCTCTAGGGTGAGGAGCTTCGCCTCCGGCGAGGGGACGGGAAGACAGTCTCGATGGGAACGCTTGCTAGAGTTGGCGAACTGGCGCATGGGAATGTTCTTCATGTGGCCGTGAGCCCGACTTCGCGGCATATATGAGCACCGAGTAGAGTACAAGTAATCGTATAAAGTCAGATTAACCTTGCTGCACACGCAACATGCCGATTCAGTGCCATTAGCGTGGTAGTCCGTATTATGTTTCCTTTCCTCGTAGCTGCATTGGGTTTTCGGACTGACGTCGGTTCCACACCATCCTGTGTATCCTGGTGGTCATCTCCAGCAATGTGATGATCGATGTCAAGGTCCCCAGAATAATCGGTATGCGTGCATGGTATTGTCGAGAGAGCATTCTGCATGGTAGACAGAGAATTCTGGCCATGATTTGCGACGCTGTATTGGGCTTTATCCAACCTTGTCTCTGGCAAGGTCGATTGTCTTTGCCCCTCGTACTATTTATGTACTTCGTCTCTTTACAACCAGGTTTCTACCTCCCCCCCTGATAAGAACAAAAAAAAAGCCAATTCTGCAAAGAATGCTTCTAACAACCACCTCAAATGCTGGTCGGGGTTCCTCGCGGCTTTGCCCACCATGTAGATGCATAAACAATAAGACTATTACGCCATCCGATGCATTTTTCTTCTTTCTTCCCCAAGCAATCGTTGTGTGAGTTTGTGCGCGCATAAGAGCATGTGCGTGATATGTTCAAAACATTGGAATCTCAAGAATGTATGCAGGCCAAGGTCACCGCAGCATTGTAAGTTTCATCGAGGCGGTGGCTGTGTAGGCCCGGAACGGCTCGAACTCGGGAGGCAACGTTCTAAGCTGCGAGGGAACGTTGCCAGCCTCGCTCTACGGGCTGTCATCCCTCTCGAGCTCGTAGAATAGCAAGTAGACTTCACGTCGAAGATCGAGGACCTCGGCCGTCTTGGCTTCGCGGACCTTCTCGTCGCTAATGCGCCACCAGCGATCAGCGGGCTGCTTCTTGCGGGACTTGTGGACAGGAGGCCGAGGCACTACGGCCATTGGTGTGGAGTGAGGCGGACTGCTTCCCAGTGTGCTGTGTCCATTGACCTTTTGTGAAATCTTTGAAACGGTGCTCTTCGCCGAGGCAGTAAGCGACCGTACGGATCGGATGCTAGCCGAATCGGGCTCTCTCTGCCTGTCGCGTGGAGCAGATGTCGGACTGATTCTCTTCCTTACTCGGTCCTTCGGCGAAGCGTCGGATGATGATAGTGATCGGGTAGAGGATGCCGTCTCGGAGCTCGGCGTCAGAAGGTCGGGTGTCGATACGGCGGGACTGACTCCCCGAGCAATGGCGTCGAGTTGCGGTGTCGATGGCTGTGGGGTGGCGGCGGGACTCGCCGTTTTGCTGTAGATGCCTGATGGCTGGAAGGTATTCTGATTGGAATACGGAGCATACGTATTCTGTCGTCTAAACGATTCGTAGTGTCCACTATGATGGCTTCCCTTGTGGGTAACGAGACCTAACAATTTGTAGTTGCGACGATCGCGCAAGCCACCAAGAGGCAATCGCTCTGGAAAGGCAACTTTGGCCGAGTTCTTGGTCGACGTTTGGTCATAGATGGACCGCGAAAGATGGACGGCAAGGATGCGGGGGAAGGACGTGAGGCGCGTCGACCGTGCGATTTTACGCTTGGGCGCATTGGCAATGTTCGGGAGGAGCACATCCTCAGGGACATGTTCCGGATCAAAGTCAATTGCATGGCGCAACTTGCGCACTGCCTCCTCGAGTGCGGTCCTCTCAGTCTCGTTCTGTGCGTTTGCTAGATCGCTCTTGAGGGATTCTTCGGCATGGATCAGTCGGCATCTCTCGCACTTGAAGTCTTCAATCATTTCCGTCTTG